AACCACTGGGAGAGGTCATCAGGAGGTTTGGGCTGAGAAGTCAGCAATATGCTGACGACACTCAGCTCTACCTCTTGTTTTCCACCAATCCAGATGAGGCGGTTTCTGTGCTGAACTCGTGTGTGGACCTGATAATGGACTGGATGAGGGTCAATAAATAGAAACTCAATCCAGACAAGGCGGAAGTACTCTTAGTGGGTGCTCCGTGGGACAGAACAACTGTAAGGGGGATATGCAGTTGGCTACAGAATCGTACTGGTTAATGGCTCCTTCTCAAACTGGGAGGAGGTAACAAGTGGAGTACCCCAGGGCTCAGTCCCGGGCCCGGTGCTCTTCAATTTTTTAATTCATGACTTGGATCAAGGGGTGCAGAGAATGCTGATCAAATTGGCAGGTGACACAAAATTGGATGGACTAGCTAGGACCCTGGAAGACAGAAACAATATTCAAAATGGTCTTGATAAGCTGGAGCAGGGGGCTGAAAACAACAGAATGAAATTCAAACAGGGATAAGTGCAAAGTCCTGCACCTTGGAAAAAGAAACCAAACACACAAGTTACAAGATGGGGGATACCTGGCTCAGCAATAGCACCAGTGAGAAGGATCTTGGAATTTATTCGCGAAGGCTTTCAAGGCCGGGATCTAATGGTTGTTGTGGGTTTTTCGGGCTTCTTGGCCGTGTTCTGAAGGTGGTTTTTCCTAACGTTTCGCCAGTCTCTGTGGCCGGCATGTTCAGAGGACAGCAAACTGCACCTTCAGAACACGGCCAAGAAGCCCGAAAAAGCCACAACAACCATTAGATCTTGGAATTGTCGTAGATCACAAGCTGAATTTGAGCCAACAGCATGATGTGGTTGCAAAAAGGCAAATGCTTTTTTAGTCTGCATTGAAGAAGTATAATTTTCAAATCCCGCAAAGTGCTAGTCCCCCTCTATTCAGCACTTGTTAGGCATCACCTTAAGTATTGTGTCCAGTTCTGGTCACCACACTTCAGGAAGGATGCCAACACATTGGAACAAGTTCAGAGGAGGGTGACAAGGATGATCAGGGGGCTGGAAATCAAGCCTTATGAGGAAAGGCTGAAAGAACTGGGCATGTTTAGCCTTGAGAAAAGAAGATGGGGCTGGGTGGGAGGTATGATATCCCTTTTCAAAGACTTGAAAGGCTTTCATTCCGAGGAGGGGCTGGATCTGTTCTCCATCGTCCCAGAGTGCAGAACACTTAACAATGGGCTCAAGTTACAGGGAGCCAGATTTTGGTTGAATATTAAGAAAAACTTCCTAACTGTAAGAACTGTACGACAATGGAACCATTTACCCGAAGAGGTGGTGAGTGCTTCAATGCTGGAGGCCTTCAAGAGAAATGTAGACAACCACCTGGCAGATATCCTTTGATTTGTATTTCTGCACTGAACAGGAGTTTGGACTCAAATGGCCTTAGAGGTCCCTTCCAAATTCATGATTCTATGGTTCTACGGTCCCAGTACTGCCTGTTAACACAACTCTGGAATTGCTCTTTGACATCTCACTCTTAAGTGGAGATTCCTGTCCTCTTTTACTTGTCTTTTTTTAAAAAAACACTAGAATGCATAACCATCAGATCTATGTCAAGAAAAATTGAACAGGAGCAGCAATGAGGCATGGAGGGATGGAAACTGACCAGCAGAAAAACACCCATAAATAAGGAAATGTCATCAAATGACACACACTTGTGAAGTACATAGATCAGCACTTAGGAATCCAACAGAGGGGTCCCCAGGAGCACATGGTACAATGGAGGAAATTCGAGCCAAGCAGAGCAGGGTGAAAAAGTCCTCTGCCTGGCAGTGGTATTTTTTTTTAAAAAAAAAAACCACTACCACAACTGGAACACATCTGTTTGATCTCACTTATAATTTGCAGATCCTCGTTTCACTCTCCTGTTGTGTGGATCCTGAGATGGAAGAAAAGTTGTAGTTGAGTGTGGATGACTCTTGATCTTGTCTCAGCTTTGACTTTTCCACCTTGGTTGACACTGCGAGTGGTTCATACTTATAATGGAGTCTAGCCTTCTGATGGCATTGCTCTCGGCTTCCCTGATAACCTCAACCTCTCCCCTCTCCCCATGAAGAAGTTAGTCCAAAAGAAGGCAGCTTAGCAGGGGTTTTATTTATACAATGGTGCCTCCACTTGATGACGACCCCGCTTGACGATGAAATCGCTTGACAATGAGTTTTTTGCAATCACTATTGCGAACGCAAAATGATGGTTCCAGTGGGTTTGTTGTTGTTGTTACACAAAACGATGGTTCCAGTGGGTTTGTTGTTGTTGTTGTTTGCATTATGTTGATTAGGAGCCTGCTTCGCGAACCATTTGTTCGCTAAACTATGATTTTTCCGGTTCCGCAAAATGACTTCCTTCCCTTCGCAAAATGGCTGCTTTCCGGACCCCTGCTTCGGAAGACAATGATTTTAAACAGTTGATTGGCGGTTCTCTATGGACGATCTTCGCTGGACGATGAGGTATTTCCCCATTGGAACGCATTAACCAGTTTTCAATGCATTCCAATGGTTTGTTTGTTTGTTTGTTTTGCTTGATGACGATTTCGTTTAACAGCGATTTTCCTGGAATAGATTATCGCCATCAAGCGGGGCACCACTGTATGTGGAAGACAATGACCAACCTTACAAGGAGAGATGACTTGCTAAAGTATTCCTTAACTACTATAGATCATCATCACAGTCTCACCTAGAGTTTAAAAAAGCTACTGCTGGAACAGTACCTGTGTAAGAACAGGATGGGACAGAGATGACATGATTTCCATGAAACCGCGTATAAATGTGTTTTCCACCACTGATTTCCAATTCAAGGCATCCTGCCTTTGAACCCTTCCTTTTTAAATTTCCTCCCTTGTGCCCCTTCCTTGTCCCCAGAGGTCATCCTTCTTTGTTTTCCCTGCTTCTGAATTTTTTGCTCTTCTTTGCTGCCTTCCTCTCCTCTCCTCTCCTCCCATCCCCTCCTTTCCTTTCCCTCCTTTGCATGTTTTGTGTCAATGGAGAGAATCTGCTCCTTGGTGGATGCCTAGTTTGCGGACAGAAAGCCTGGCATTCTGGATGCTGACACTGGGGGTCTCGTGTGTACACTGTCTGAAGTGGGAGTATCTGAAATGGTGTGGCTGCTTTCCTAATTTCTGCCCTCTTTCTCCGTCCCTTTTCCAGGCTCCTCCTCACACTCCGTGCACTACCTCCACACTGCTGTGTCTGAACCCCCCCTGGGGAGTCCTCAGTACATCGCAGTGGGATACCTGGACGGCCACCTCTTTCTTCAGTACGACAGCATCACCCGGAGAGCGCAGCCTCGAGTGCCCTGGATGGAGAAGGTGGTGGAAGAGGATCCGGAATATTGGGAGAGGAACACCCAGATAGAACAGGGCAGTGAGCAGTGGTTCAGAGAGAACCTGGCCGTCCTGAAGCATCGCTACAACCACAGCGGAGGTGATCGGAGGGCGGAAGAGGCACAGATGGTTTTCCCCATCCCTCATCCCTCTTCTCTGTTCCAGGGGTGGAAGATAGGGGAGAGGGATTTCTGCAGAGAAGGAATAGGAGTTCCAGCACAGGAACCCCCCCCATCAGATGACCCCCCCCATGGGAGCTGTGGGGAGAGTTTTCCAGCCTCATTAAACACAGAAAGGAAACCAGATGTGTGTGTATATACCCATGGAAGTACAAATTTTCCCCTTGCTTTTTGAACAAGAAATGAAAGACATGAGCCCTAAAAGCCTCTCCATCCATTTCAGAGACAGCCAGTTTGGGCAACTGGACCTCTCTGAGGAAATTGGTTGAGCTCCTGACAAATTGCGAATCCCAAAATCTTAATTGAAGTTTGTGGGGTGGGTCAAGACTGCACAGTGTTTATTTCAGTGGAAACTGGTGATCAGATGTCATGAGAGGGTGATGAAAACACTCAAGGTTTTAGTCTGAACCTTAAAGAGGGCTCTTCTGTACTACAAACAGCACTTTGGATTCCTCCAATAAAAGTTCGGACTAAAACCCCTATTGGATTTGCCACCCTGCAACACCAGCAAACCCCCCCACCTTCTACTGATTTCTGTTTATATGAATGGTGTTGCCTAATTTTTAAAAAGTGGTGGGGGAAATATAGACCTACCTCTCTCACATCTTAGCTGGGGAGAAAGGAAACCAACATACGAGACTGACCTGACTGACTGACTGACTGACTAGATAGATAGATAGATAGATAGATAGATAGATAGATAGATAGATAGATAGATAGATAGATAGATAGATAAGAGGAAGACCGCAATTCTGCTTTTGCTTTTCTGGAAGTATTTAGTGATCAGGTTTGATACTTTTTAAAACAAAAAAAGTCATTTTCCGTTAATACAAAATTTGTCTGCAATTAATTTACAAAATATGCATTAATGGAGCTTACTTCTCCTGCTTGGACATGGAGCGTCTAGGAAGGCAGGAATGTAAACCTGGAGCAATTTTTCCCTGAAAGTCTGGCAGACACTTGCAAGCATCGGAGAGCAAGCGCGCGCACACACACACAAGTTTGATAACACCCAAGGACAGGAGCATGAGGCTTGCCAAACCTCACAACTAGAGATGGGGGTATTTGAATATGAATGCAAATACCCCCACGGAGGGGGGCATAACAAGGGTCCAGCCCCTGGGGGTCGGACCGTCCACTCACGGTGTCCGCTGCTGCCGCCCCCGCAGACTCCACACCTCCCTTCCTATCACGTCGGAGCTGGCGGTCTGCAAGCCATTCCTTCACCTGGCAGCAAGGGGCAAGGGATAATTTCTTCACAAAACCTCCATCCATTATTTATTTATTGATTTGATTTGATTTGATTTGTAACCCACCCATTTGGTCTATAAGACCACTCTAGGCGGCTTCCAATATAACATAAAAATAAAATAACACAAAATATTACATAGATCTATTTGACAGGAGGGCCTTTTGAGCATCCCCAAAGCAAAAATCCCCCACCAAAGGCTCTTTGGGAAGCAAGAGAAAGGAGCCTCTCGATCCTTTGTCTGGATCGACTTTTCACTACTGTTTGACTTCAACAAGAGCCTCAGGTCTGTTCAGGGTTGGATTTAACATATATTTCCCTTTTGTGGGATCTCTGTCTCTCCCTGTCTCTGGGTTTCCTTCCCTGGAGCAGAAGAAAAGGCAGGCACTATTCCCAGGAGAGAAAGAAGGAGACCCTCAAATGGCTCCCTTTCTTCTCCTGAGGGGCTCCCCATAGTGGAGAATCTCCCGGTGGCTTTTGCCTCTCCTGAGGGAAAATCCTCCCTTTTCTCTGAACCCTTCTGTGGGGCTTAGCAAGTCGGCTGAGGGTGGGGGTGTCAGGGACTCCGCCTCTCTGTTCCTCACCCCCCCATGTGGGTCTGTTTTCAGGATTTCACTCCATGCAGGAGATGTATGGCTGTGAGCTGAAGAGGGACGGGAGCAAAAGAGGATATTGGCAGAATGCCTATGACGGGAGGGACTACCTCAGCTTCGACACGGAGACCGTCACCTGGACGGCGGCCCTTCCCAAGGCCCAGATCACCAAAGAGAAGTGGGAGAATGATCCTGCCTACGGCCAAAGAATGAAGGCCTACCTGGAGGGGGAATGCCTGGAGAAGCTGAAGAGATTCCTGGACTATGGGAAGGAGAGGCTGCTGAGGAGAGGTGAGGCATGGGATGGAGGAATAAAGAAGTCTTCTTTCTGGGGAATCGGGGCCATCTTCTCTGCCTCCCTGTCTCTCCCACTTGCTCCCACCTCTGACCCAAATAGCCCCGTGGCTTAGCCTGATTAGGCATTTTTCAGTCTTGAGAGACTATGGTAACATGCACTGTATGGAGGACTTGGAACAGCATCTAGTGTGGCTGAGAAGGCCAATTCGAGAGTTACAATCCCTTCCACACTGAAGACAAATCCAATCTGTCCCTTGTCCAGCTCCCTGATTTTGCTGGTTATAGGGCTGCCTCTTTGCCTCAGCCTGCTGGACAAGGTTCTCTTCAAATTGGGAGAGGCTGCGCTGCACCGCCTGCCTCCAGGCAGAATTCTCAGAGGTCAGGGTTTCCCGTCTGCTGAGGTCCATTCCTAAGGCCTTCAGATCCCGCTTGCAGATGTCCTTGTATCACAGCTGTGGTCTCCCTCTGTGGGATTCTTGCCCACAGTAATAGATATGGTAATCGTCTGAATTGAATTCGCCTATTCCTGTCCATTTTAATTCACTGACATCCAGGATGTCGATGTTTATTCTTGCCATCTCCTGTTTCTCCACGTCCAGCTTCCCAAGGTTCCTAGATCTTACATTCCAGGTTCCTATGCAGTATTTGTCTTTGCAGCATCACTTTCCTTTCACTTCCAAGCACGTCCACAGCTGAGTGTCCTTTCAGCTTTGGCCCAACCACTTCATTAGCACTGGAGCTACTTGTCCTCCGCTCTTCCTCAGTAGCATGTTGGACGCCTTCCGATTGAGGGGCTCATCTTCCAGCTTCATATCTTTTAGCCTTTTGTTTCTGCTCATGGAGTTTTCTTGGCAAAGACACTGGAGTAGCTTGCCAGTTCCTGCTCCAGGTGGATTGCGTTTAGTCGGAACTCTCCACTGTGACCTGTCCGTCTTGGTGTCCCTGCACGGAATAGCCCATAGCTTCTCTGAGTTACTAAAGCCCCTTCGCCACGACAAAGCAGCAATCCGTGAAGGGGTTGGGTGTGGTTAGACTGCACTTTATCTCACCTTTTGGACAACTTTGGGAACAGACTGGTTCACTCCATTTTTCTGGCAACCACGTGAAGTACAGGCAACCAGCTGGTCCATTATCCCTGTGTACCCACCCCTTTTGGGGCCCCTTACAGGGACTGCTATTTATTTTATTCCAAGTAGTTTTGTTCTATTTTAGTTTGGGTTCCGGCATGTGAGATTGCCAGTGTTGAACCTCAGTAGATGTTTCTCCCCGTAATTCACTGCAATGTCACTGGAGCTCCAAGCCAATGAAATGTTACGCCACTTGATTTTAAAAAAAAGCAATCCAGGTTTTTCCCTTTCTCTGTAAAAGATGAGGAAGAAGAGGACTTGGAGAACAATCATTCCCCCCCTTTTCTTTTACAATCGAGTGCTTTTTTAAATTCAGTGACAAGACAATGAGGTGATATATCCTTTACCAATAAAAGGAAAAACAAACCCATATTTTTCTTACTTCCAGCAGAGGAGGAGGGAGAGAGGAAGGAAATGGCTTAATAGGGTTGCTTAGAAGTGTGGTTTGTCTCCAAAAATCGCATGTGGATGCAAGGATCATTCCTCATCTCAGACCATGTTTAGCCCAGTCCAGTGAATAAATTCACTGTCTTGTCGCACCGTTAAGAGAGGTTTGGGTGCCTCCATTGATGCTCATATTGCCATTTTTGCAGAGCCCCCAGTAGGGAAGGTGACCCGCATGTTCCTCTCTGAAGGGAGGGAGATGCTGGTCTGCCAGGCCCACGGCTTCTACCCCAAGGAGATCGAAGCCACCTGGAGGAAGGGCGGGGAGATCATGGAGCAGGACACCTTCCGGAGGAGCGTCGCTCCCAACTCCGATGGGACCTACCACGCCTGGCTCAGCATCGAGATCAACCCTGAAGACAGAGACCTCTACCGATGCCACATCGATCACACTGGCCTGACTGAGCCTCTGGTCTTGGCCTGGGAAGCGCCTGTGGAGAAACGGTCATGGGGTGAGAAAGGAGCTTTCACATGGGACTGGACTGAAAAAAGGAGCACCATCCTGGGCAAAAACTCTCTGCAGGGCTGTTGCATGTTATGGACCAGAAAAAAAAACAGGGATGTGCTCTTCTGTGGGGAGGGAGGAAGGGGAGAGATCTGTTCAGGGAGTTTGGGAGCCATCTGTGGCTCTTAGTCATGGTGCTGATGCCTTGATGAACTTCAAACCATATGCCTTGATTGGTGAAAGGTTTTGGGTTCTCCCCGGAGAGCCTGCTGTGCTTGGAGGGAAGGCCTTACAGTGGTGCCTCACTTAGCGAGGTTAATCCGTTCCGGATTAACCCTCGCTCAGCGAATCCATCGCTAAGTGAAATAAAAAAGCCCATAGGAACGTATTAAAACTGATTTAATACGTTCCTATGGGCTTAAAACTCACCGTTCTGCGAGTTTCCTCCATTGTGGCGGCCATTTTGGATGCCTCGTTAGCGAGGCAAAACAGCGGTCGCCATTTTGTTTTGGCGATCCGCGCGTTCATTGCATAGCGAAAAAAGCCCATGGGGGCCATCGCTGAGCGAACGCTCCAGCGATGGCCCGGGGCCCCTCGTTGTGCGGTTTCATCGCATAGCGAAGCGCTCGCTATGCGAGGCACCACTGTACATTGATTGGATCAGGCCGAGGGCAGGGAGCGATTTGGCCCATCGACGAAGCCCCTTTTTCACATCTGAGATGTTGCTGGGTCAGCCGAGCACCACCTCCCTTTGAAGCTCTCAGGACCTCCTGGTGCCACTTTTCCTGAATAGCCACGTCTTCGCCTCTTTTTGTTTTAGATCATGTGGGAGCCATTGTGGGAATCGTCGTGTTTGCTCTCCTCCTGATGGCTGCTGGGATTGTCTTCTTTCGCAGTGAGTATGCCCGGAACGCCCTTCTTGGGCGGCGTCTGTTGTTCTGTCGGGGAGGCACATAAAGATCTCTGACCCTAAAGATCAAGCACCGGATGGGGCATCCCGAGTGTGATTTCAACCCTGAAATTACCCTTCTCTTCATATTTCAGAAGCCATTTCTGGGGCTTAAATCAATCTCTGAGGATGAACCAAAATGAAATCTAGCTCCCCAAAGCTCAATTCTCATGGACTGGAAAGCAGCTGAGCACCATCTAGTCTGGTTATTCTTGCTTAAGTTTTCATCTACACATAAACATATTTTTGGAAAATAGGCTTCTAGTGCCGTGTGAATTTTAATTACCCGGTGGTTTAGGTATCTATCTGCAGTAAAAGAGGTAGGGAGTTCAAATCCCCCACTGTGCCTCCTTTCAGGAACAGCCAGACTGTGGTGCCTTGGGCAAGCGCCAAGAGAGAAGATGGGGTTACACGGAAGACCCATAGATGCAAAGTTTGACACCTGGACAAACCTGGGAAATTTCGGGGTCTTCCTTCCTTGGCAATGTTTATGTAGAGCAGAGACCAGAAAAGGACCTGAGGTGGAGGTTTTAGAAGACCCCTCTTACTACATCTGTTATATAGGATATTCTCTGGGGACCCCTTTTCAGTTCTGATATTCTCACTTTCTCTTTCTCTCTCTGCAGGGCGCAAGCAACAGGGAGGACCCTTGTAAAGCAGCGTTAACTGAGTCCTCCATCACTGGAACCTTATTTCAGTCGAGTTCAGAAGCAGTTTTTCCTGAGACACTTCTGCACTCTCGCGAGCACCTCTTTCCCCGGCTGGAAACATTTTATGCACCGTCCGATGTGGGAGAGGCCTGCTCGGCAGGGAGGAAACCAACCGAGAAGAAAGGGAAAAGGGTCCTTTAAATGGACTTCAGTGCCTTCTGCTGCCTGGCTGGATAGCTCA